TATTTATACCCCGCCTATCTAGTCATTTCGACCACTCTAGGCGGCTTTTTAGAGCTTCACAATAGTTTTATCTATATACAGCTTCCACTGCAGTTAGGCTTGCCTGGATTTGTTTTGCATGGTTCCTTGTTACAGGAAGCTGCCTGAAGGCACTGAAGTCTCACGACTCTGAGGGCATGATCACATAAGGCAAATATTCCCTACTTATATCAGTTAGATCACTGCATACATTACATCACAAAATGCACAGCCATTGATTCATTTACCAATTTACTAAATATCTCTTTTGTTGTTCTTATGGATTTGCTCCTTGGGTGTATGATATATAGTCTAACAACCAATGTGCACCTTTTTTTAAACGTGGAAATCCCCAGAAAATTCCCACAAACCAACTTGTAATTAATTCTGAAAGTGATATGCATGAAGTCCAATGCAGAACCACATCTATAAGGGTTTTTTTCCAGCCAATATTACAATATCCTCTGCTTGGGAATAGTGCCAAGCTAAACCGATGGCACAGCTGCATAATTTTAACCCCTGGTCTTTTGATTGTGATGTGTGTTCCTTTAGTTACTGCCTTGCTCCAGGCAAATTACCTCTTGTCTTTACAGCAAGACAGGAAATAGTTAAGAACTTACATGCACACAAAGATTAAATGTGATTTACTGTGTGAGAAGTTTTAATTAATTGTGCTTTTTGATGTTTCAGGTTCCAGGCATACTGACTCAGTATAAGGAAACATCTTCCTCATATTCTCGAAGGTTTTCGTGGCTGGGATCTGATGGTTGTTGTGGGTTTTTCGGGCTCTTTGGAGGTGTTCTGAAGGTTGTTCTTCCTGGCATTTTGCTAGTCTTTGGCCGGCATTTTCAGAGGACTGGAGTAGGAACTCAGTCCATGTTCTGTTGCTGTTTGTTGGATAGTTGAGTATTTATAGCTGTGGGAACAGCTTTTGTCTTTTTCAGGAGATAGGGTGATGATGGTCAGCATGTTTTTGTTGTGGATGTATTGTTGTGATAAGAGGAAGAGATTATCTGTCACTGCGATTGATCCCTGGTCCTTTTGGCTAGGTAGAGTTCGTTGACCTCTTGCAGACTGTATTTTTCAGTGCTGGGAGCCAGGCCTTATTTTTAGTCTTTCCTCTTTTTTGTTGAAGCTCTGCTGGTGTTTATGGATTTCAATGGCTTCCCCGTGCAGTCTAACATAATGATTGCTGGTGTTGTCCAGTACTTCAGTATTTTGAAATAGAATTTCATGTCCAGCTTGTTTTAGGGCATGTTCAGCTATTGTTGATTTTTCTGGTTGTTTTAGTCTGCAGTGTTTCTCATGTTCTTTGATTCTGATGTGAGTGCTGCGTTTTGTGGTTCCAATATATAGTTGTCCAAAATTGCAAGCTATCCAGTATACTCCTGCAGTGGCGAGAGGGGTCCCTTTTGTCCTTTGCTGACCGTAACATTTGTTGTATTTTTGTGGTGGGTCTGAATACTGTTTGTACGTTGTGTTTTGTCAAGTTTCACCATGCGGTCCGTGACCCCTTTGATGTATGGCAGAAATACTTTATTTGTGGGTGGCTGTTTTTCCTCTTCAGTTTGGTGTTGTTTTCTTGGTTTGATGGCTTGTGATTCAGGACTCCTGCTATATTATCATTATATGCTATCAGCAACACTTAGGAAGATATTTAGGCTCAGAGGATAGTGATTTGCAGAAATATTCCATGTAATTAGTATGTTCAAGTATTTGAATTAAAACAAAAAGGTCTGTCCTTGCTCCTTTGAAATGATTGCAACAAATAAACAAAACATTCGTTGTTGTTTAGTTGTTAAGTCGTGTCCGATTCTTCGTGACCCCATGGACAAGAGCACAAAACATACCGGCCTCAATAAGAACTTTGTTTCTTCTTATGTGGATTATGAGGAGAGCTGTTATTGCTGTTAAGGAGCTTTGTAGCATGTCACATCTAATGCCATGTAAACAAGATGCTTCTCACAGTATCAAATTATGAGAAGTTAATGTATTTGTCCTTTCATTATTTAGATAAAAAATGCTAGTGTGCTTGCTGAAAGATTTAACAGCAAGACAGGGATTACTAATTTTGCAATCCTTCTCCCCACATTACATTTACTAAAGACTATTCCAGAATAGCAATCCAAATATCCTTTTATGTCACCAACTTGTACTGTTTTCCCAAAAATAAGACCTAACCTGAAAATAAGGCCTAGTATGATTTTTCAGGATGCTTGTAATATAAGCCCTACCCCCAAAATAATTTTCAGTTAAGTGAAATCCTGCCCTCAACCATTGTGCAGCAACCAGATGACACGACTATATTTGAATAAATGTAGATTGTTGTACATGAAAAAAATTAAAACATCCCCTGAAAATAAGCCCTAATGTGTTTTTTGGAGCAAAAGTTAATATAAGACCCTGTCTTATTTTGGGGGAAACACGGTATGTGTTGTCATTAAAAATTCCACAGTAATACTGTAATGGTTGGAATGATCTAATCTGCTCAGTCTTAGAGCAGTAATTCTACAAAAGCATGATTAAATGATAAGAAAAACTGTCAGAGTTTACACCACTAATTTTAATTGCTCAGTGGAGTTATAATCAATCAGAATTTCTTATGCAGCAAATATTTCTAGAACAGTAAACAGGTTGTCTGCTGTGTAACCTGCCAGCTGTTTTAATGATAAGTAGAACAGTGTTGCTGAAACAAGAATGATATCATGATTTCATTTGCGAAATTGTTCCAGGATTGGAAATTAAACAAGTCAGTCTGGAAAAATCTTGCATACACCTAGAAGTCAGTCCCAGGTCAAGCTGATGTTGCCATGACTGAAGGCCTTTTAAAAACTGTTGTTACTGCTATTATGGGCGTCCGTCCTCTTCATTTGCCTGTCAGCTTCAATACATTTTTCACCATGGCCCCAATGCCATCAAAGATGTGATGCAGTTCAGTTTCACACATAAAGGCTGGTGTAGTTACCACCTTGTTCTTTGTGTCCACGTGGGCTTCGTGGAAAACAGTTAAGGAAAACACAACAATTAAACCAAGCAATACAATAGAACAGCAGTTTTAGAAGAGGCAGCTGTGTTAGTCTATGCTAACATATTAGGCAGAAACAAAAGTAAAATAAGAAACAAAGAAAATAAAAATACTATAGCTATTTTTATATTGACTGCTATATTTTAGTGTGAGCTTTGGGGGGAAAACACTTCCTCAGACAGAACAACAGTATACCTACACTCTGTCCATTCTGAAAACTTTCTACGTAATTTTCAGTACTTTTTAATAAAACCCAAGCAATCAATGTTGAAAGCCAGTGTAATGTAGTGTTCAGTGCTGAAATCAGGCTTGTGAGATGTGGATTCAAGTCCCCACTTAATTATGAAACTCACTGTGTGACCTTGGATCAGACTACCTCTTAGCCTACTTGACCTTGGATAGTGGCTGCGAGGATAAAATGGAGAGAAGACCCAGCTATGTCACTTTCTGCTCTTTGGAGGAAAAAAAAGAAATAAATCTAACAAGTAACTCACATATTTTACAACAACCACAAAGCAATCACTTTGAAACTTTTGTATCATTCAATACCTACTAACCCAGTGGTCCCCAACATTGGGCCTCCAGATATTCTTAGACTACAACTCCCAGAAGCCTTCACCAGCACTTCTGCTGGCCAGGATTTCTGGGAGTTGAAGTCCAAGAACATCTGGAGGTCCAAGGTTGGGGACCACTGTACTAACCAACAACCTGAGCAGAATTTAGAAACTGTTGGCAGAATGTAACACTGCCAGTGTAGCTCTGTCCAATCTTCACTACACAAGTAAACATCACCCACTGGGGCTTTCACTTGTGCAAGGAAATGCTGGAAAGTAGGTATGGGAAGCTTCATAAGAATTACATTACTCATGCAAAGGACTGTTGCACAAAAATAGATTCCTCTACACTATCTGTGTAGGATTAATATGATCTTGTTTAAAGCAAAGAGCACAACCACAAGAAATTTACCTATTGCTTTCTTGTGGTTACTTCTTTTTACATAGCTTGAAAGGAAAATCAACCATACAAAATGTAATTGTCATTGAATTTCAATGACATTCCTTTGAGGAAGATTGCAACAACCAGAGAATATAAATAAAGGACTACCTTAAGACTAGATATATATCCTAATACAGAGAATGCAGTGGCAGGAATCTTGTTGGCTTAAGCTACACCATGGATTTCCAATAGCATAATCAGCACAGCTCTTGGAGAGGACTTTAAAGCCTTCCCACCCCTGCCCCCAGATTCCAAGGATCCCCTTGGAACAGTGGATTAGCCACTCTTCAGCCTAGCAGAGAGGCTTGTCACCCCGCCTTCTGCCAGGAATGGCTAAATCCATTGCAAGTAATGGAGCGATACGAAGGAACCACAGAGCTTGTGGCAGCAGCAGAATCGTGAGTGGTCAGTCTGGCCCCAGGGGACCGGACCCTCATTATCTGCACCTGTGGGGGGGATATTCATATTCATATATGAAGACCCCCATCTCTAATCTGAAATACACACAATAACACTAATTTAACCAATTATCCTGGCTTTTAGAAATTTAGAAAGCCAGAAAAATTTTTCAGTAATGTAATCTCATACCGTTAATGAAAATTTATCAAATGATGCATCTAGATCACAGATATGAACTTTTTAAGGCTCTTCTGTTCTCAATAAAGATGTGCAATGTCTTCTATACTGCTTTTTGGCCCCATGAGCATTTAATTAGTAGCAAATCCTGGTGTTTATTTCAGTGCAAAATTTGTACTATTCAGTTATTTCCTATTCCCACAAAAAGGATATTGTTACTTCTTTAATCTGATGTTTTCCTCCCAGTGCTTTAATGGCCCCAGCAGTTCCAGCATAAGGCCATTTACCACCTTGCTCTTCTTCATGTCCTACTGTAACTTCAGTACCAGGAAGCACTTTTGCAGCTAAGACAGGTGAAATGCAGCACAGACTAAAAGAAAAAAAAAGAAAATCTTCACTAAGGTCCTTTCAAAACAGAATCTACCAATGTATACAAAATCAAAACTATATGGCACCTTTCTTCTCTTATAAATATATAGCACACTCTAAATTTCAAAAACAATCACAATTCAGTCAAATCTTCACAAATCATGAAGCATCATCAATATTCTAAAATCAGTAGGGTAAGGGAAGAAAATTATCTTAACAATCCACAAAAAATAAGATATTTTCCAATTCTACATACACAACTGTTAATGATATACAGTGGTGCCTCGCACAACGAGTGCACCGTAGAACGACGAGTCCGCACAACGGGGTCGTTCTAGCAATCACAAATGCGATCGCACACTGATGGCCCCTATGGCTCAAAATCGCAGAGCGCAGGTCGGTAAGCGGTTCGGCGGCTTCAAAATGGCCACTGGAAGCCCCAAAATGGCCGCGAAAATGGCTGCCGGCCATCGGAGAAACATCGCTGTACGGTGAGTAAAGCTGCTATTGGAACGCATTAAACTAAGTTTAATGCGTTCCAATGGCTTTTTTTTTTGATCCGTACAGCAATGTTTTCACACAGCAAGGGTTAATCTGGAACGGATTAACCTCGCTATGCGAGGCACCACTGTATATAAGAAGCACCCTGTTGTGCCACTGCTGTATGTCAACAATGTGAGAAGCATAATGTACCTAAGGGCAAAGGTGCTACATACAAAATAGAATCTCATTTTTTTCAGATGGAAAAAAAAGTCCTTAATAGAAGAGGAAAACTTAGTAAGCAGCAAGATGAGAACAGAAATGTTAAGCCAAAGTGGGTGGAAGACAGAAGTCTTGAGATAAGGAGTGCATTCACAAAGAACTGGAAGGGCACAGGACTAGAAGCCAGAAAGCAGTGACAATGCTGAATAACACATATTTTAAAGTAATGCTCTCCTGTCCTGCTTGTGGTTGTCCCAGAGGCAACTGATCATTGTGGGACACAGAATGCTAAGTTAGATATATCTTTGATCTGATCCAACTGTTCTCTTCTTGGAAATTCCCTGAATTGGCCTTGCCTTAATTGTAATCACCAACAAAAACCAGGCTGTCAACCATTTATTAGAAGCTGCAAGATCTTGACAACCCCATTTTTGCAGTTCCAGTCTAGTAACAAAAATTCAAACTTGGCTTGTGGAGTCATGAAACTTTTGCTCAAGTCTTCAGCTTAATACTCATTTTCACATGTTGTTCATCCCACAGATAAATGTTTCTTTCTAAAAAAGGTTACATACCCAATGGGTTTCCCTGCTTTGTGGAAATCCTTCAGGACACGTTCAATGTCTCCATTAACTTTACAGTCTTTCCCATCCACAGCAAAGGTAGACCTAACACAGCAAGAAAGCATATTACATGTAGTCTTACAGTTCTGAAACGCAACACTGATGTTCAGAGTAATCTTCAAAATAACTATGCTTAAAGTAACTAAAAAACTCTTGTCTGTCTCTCCTTTTTTTTTCAGAAAAATATTAAGGAGAAAAATAATAATATGCTATCTTTCAGTGTAGAAATATATTTTCATCCCAGGGCAAGTGTCAGGAAATTTATTTATTTCATACATTTGCATACTACTCAGCTTAGTGAAATGCACTACTCTGGCAGCTAACAACAACTTCAACCCAGCCTGCCCACCCACCCAATTTCAAATAACCCCATAATAAAAAAACTAAAAGATAAATAATGAAGATCTGAGACCTACCCCAAAACAACACCAGCCCTATGCTTTCAACACTTAAAAGATACAAGTGCTCAGGTAACTGCATGTGATGGAAGACTTAATAGACTGCAGTATTCTTGAAATGACTCTTATGAGACTCTTGCAGAACATTTCTTTTGCACCTCTTCTCATGGATGCCCAATTGGGGCTTTCTGGAAATTAAGATTAGGTTGTAACTGTTCTTTTCATTGGTTATCTCTCACTTGTTATTGCCTCTCCTAAGGAGTTAAAGAGTGCTTCCTCCTCTCAGTCCTTTCTAACTGTCAAACTGTTAATATTTCTTTCTTGAGAGTGGGATAAACCCCTACTTTCTGGGCCATGTGCCTGGGCCTTGAGATATGGCCCTCTATCTAGTTAAGAACTGTTTTTTCTGTCAAATGCTTTTCTAAATAAATCTAGTAACCTTTGTTTACATTTAACCTTCTGTCTTGTATATTGCTCCAGAGAGCAATTTGCTTTTGGAGCAACAAACAGAATGGAGCAATAAATAAATTAATTAATAAGTAAAACAATAATGTGAACTTCAAAGCTCACTGGAACACTGATGCTGTTTACTCTGCTACTACAAGATCTCTCAGCAGCCTTCCACACTTAACAATCTGAATCAAAATTAAAACAACACTGAATGACAAAATAGTAAGAAAAAAGAAATATGTTGTGGAAACTCACAGGTTTTTGGCAGCTCCGAAGCCTCCAGGAAATATGACAGCATCATGATCATTTACAGTCAATTTAGCCAAATCTACAATTTTGCCACGTGCAATCCTTGCCGATTCCATCAGGACATTTCTTGATGGGGGAAAAAATGTCCAAAAAACCTCACTATTTTGAGACGGTTTTCAAAGAATTGAGAAGACAAACAGTATCCCTAATCAGCTAATGAAATACCTACTTCTTGCTCAATGGAAGTATAATGACAAAGTTTTACATGAATCAAATCTCTCTATATATTTCTGAAAAAGACAGATAACGCATACAGTATTACTCAACATTTTGTAAAGGATTTAGTATCATACAACTATATTCAACTGGCTTGAAGAGAACTGTCTTTCAGATAGTCATGATTCCTGATTTCCCACAGAAAAAAACTTTCAATATATATCTATTATTTGTCAAAATAGTGTCATTTAATACTGTACATTCTAAAATTAGCTCTTACCTTGATTCCCCCTCAGCTGGCTGCCCTTTGGTATGGTCAATAACATGCATCTGCAAACTATTTGGGGCATACATCTGAACACTTGCTCCGCCACGGCTCAAATGGACCAAAATCCTGTGATTTTGAAAAATACACCGAGAAGGAGCAAATTAAGAAGCGTATTAAATTTATTTTTACCTCACAATCAAGTCTTGTCAGAAATTATTACCAGAGGGGGATGATTGCTCAGGTGAGAACCCATCTAATATTGAAACACATAATTTGACTATTTAACTACTGGTTCATTTGAGAAATATTTGGGGGCTGTAATTATAGAAATATCCTTACGCTGAGGCTTCATGTATTTCAGTACCATCATAAACACCACATCCGGACAGGATCTGCAAAAAGAAATACCAGTTTTATGATTTAAAGGCATTTGGTTAGCACACTGAGAACAGAATGATTAATTAGATAGGCCTCTGGTCTGATCCAGCTTGGCTCTTCTCACGTTCATATGTCCAGAACCTTAAAACTAATTGATAGCTAAATGGTTTAGGTATCTGACTGCAGAGTCAGGGGATGAGTTCAATTCCCCACTGTGCCTCCCTGACAGGGGCTGGACTCGGTGATTCACAGGGATGATGATTATTATATACTATGAGAGATAGTATATAATAATAGTAATCACAGACTTACCAGAAAAAAGTATCAAACCAATTCACACAATTAACAATAGCAACAACTATGAAATGGAACAACTTACCTACAACAATCTACCATCTTTTAGACTTAGCTGTGATTTTAAACTAACTTACTTTAAATTAACTGAAAGGGCAGACATGTTAGTCCACTGCAAAAAAAACCTATGAAGGCTTCTGCAGCACCTTAAAGATTAACAAGTTTTATTAGGCATAAACTTTCATTGACTGTACTCCAAATGTGCTACAGTTCACAAAAGCTGATTTAAAATAAAGTAGAAGGAAATGGAAAACCACTTCTGAGTATTCTCTACCTGGAAAACCCAGAAAAGGGTCACTATAAGTCAGAATTGACTTGATGGCACACAATTATTATTATGTTAGCCTATAAGGTGCCACAAGACTCTTTGTTGTTTAATTGAACAGATACTAAAGCTGAAATCCTACATAATAATTAATGTGTATTCAATACTGTGATTGACAGAATTACACTTGGTCCAGTATAAATCCCAATAGGATGCTGGGCAAAGTTGTCTAACTATGCATACACTATACCATCTTGTGATTTCATATGCCTCCTAATTATAAGACCAAATTGTGCATCATAAGGTTTACACTGCACAATATGGATTAATTTTGCATAATATGGATTCATTTCTATGAAAGGTAAGTTTGGCTTTGCTCACATCTTAAAGCTTGTCTCACTTAGAGCATCAAGACTCAGACTTGATTGTAAAATTCACTGAAGATAATTAAACCTTCAAGCCTGTTCACCTGAAGATTAGCTACAGAGTGTACAAAAGAGTGCATTTCTTTACAAGATTGAACTGTAAATATTGCTTTACATAGTGTGCTGTTACATAAAGAAATTGTCAGTAGAAAACAATATATCCTGGTTAGAATCCTACTGATGTCCAAAAGTCATATAACTTTCCACAGCTAACTACAGGTCATAGGTCCAACTGCATAACCAAGGTACACCTAGGCTCTGTGGTTCTTCAGGAAGTACCCTCTATACAACACAAAGGGCAATGAGACTACTATCTGCAGAAAGCACTGCAGTAGGAAACAAAAGCCCAGAAAGTGGCCAAGAAAAAGGACTTGTCCTTATCCTGGTGAGTGAAATGAAAGGTGTCTGTAGGCACATGTTTGTGGGCTGGAATTCCCAGAATTCTGACTGGAGTATTCTTGGAGAATTCTGGAAGTTGGAGAAAAACAAATGGCAATCCCCTGTTAGGTTCTCCTTTGTTGGAGGAATCTAAGCAGAGATGAAGAGGTATTTCGTTAACGATGGCATATCTACATTGCAGTGCCCATATTCAGCAGATGGTTAAGTAGACCAGTAGTTCCCAGCCTTGGGTCCATAGATGTTCTTGGTCTGAAACTCCCAAAAGCCTTCACCACTAGCTGTGCTGGTCAGAAATTCAGGGAGTTGCAATCCAAGAACATCTAGGAGCCCAAGGCTGTTAACCACTGGCCTAGAGAAATTATCTCCAACAATCATTACAGCTCTATAATAAACACAGTCTTATTCTTTAAGGCACTTGATTTTTCTGAAGCTTTTTTTTTCCCTTTCAAAATTACATACCAACTAGGGAACAGAAACTTAATAAACATTAAGTAGAATTATTTCCATACTTCCAAAATGCATTGTACACATAAAAAACCAAGCCCTGAACATATTCTTGAAATCGTAACGCAGGTCTGAATTGTTGTTGTTTTTCTTTTTGTGTTGCCTGGCCAATGAGTGTGACATGTTTTAAGATGAAGCAAATGTGACAAAAAGAAGGATGTACAATTTTCTTTTTCTGGATAGTGGACAAATCAGCAGGATCCATGTCAGACTTCTGTCTGCACAGAGAAGAATTGCAAAATGATATCATGACATCTTTATCTGAAGTCAAAATTACTAGTTCCATATTGCTTAGGAAGCAGCTTATATTCAAGAGCAGCTATCGCATCTGGCCCAATTCATAGCTCTTCTGCCTTTGGAATAAAAACTTTAATATAAATAATTATTTAATATAAAGCACAGTTAGCTAGGTTATCACTATGGCTCCAGCCCTAAAGAGAGTAAGCATCCCTTGGCATGCAAGAACTTCTGAAAGTTTATGCACTAAGAAATTGTGTTAGTCTTTAAAATGCCAGTTGTATTTGCTACAACAGACCCCTCTGCAACTACACAAAACACAGCAGCCAGATTGCTGACTGGGGCTGGTTACAAGAATCACATAACCTCTGTGTTACATCAGCTCCACTGGCTGCCAATCCGTTTCTGGGCAGAATTCAGAGTGTTTGTCCTAACCTATAAAGCCTTAAACAGCTTGGGTCCAAGCTACCTCTTTATGAGTCTGTTTGAGTGTTAACATCATCAGAGGAGGCGTTTCTCTCAGCCTCATCACCCTCACAGGTGCCTCCGGTGGGGACACCGGAGCAAGCCTTCTCTGTTGCTGCTCCCAGACTTTGGAACTCCCTCCCACAGGAGGCTAGCCTAGCTCCATCTTTGTTGTCCTGCAAGCAGGTGAAGCCCTTTCTCTTTAGGCAAGCTTTACCTGAGTGACTGGCTGCTTGAGAGGGATTTTTAAACAGACTGTTGTACTTGGCTGCTTTGAGTGTGTTTTGGTCTTGCTTCATGTTTTTCAGTGAGGTATTTGTGTTTCTTTTTACTGTTTGTATACTCTAATATGTCTTTTCATGATGTAAGCCACCTTGGGTCCTTTTATGGAGAAAACTGGGGTAAAATATTTTAAATAAATAAATACACTTCTAAATAAAAAGTTTAAATAAGGAACGGGACCCCTACTCAGTACTTGCTTGCTGGCAAGCAGGGACAGGAAAAAAAAACCCTGCTTTGTCCTGTTTAACAGAGGCCAGAGTAACCCAGCCAGCCAGCCGGGCCCGAATAAAGTTTAAATAAGGAACGGGACCCGTACTCAACATTGCTTGCTGGCAAGCAGAGGCAGGAAAAAAGCTGCTTTTTCCTGTTTAACAGCGGCCAGAGTAACCCAGCCAGCCAGCCGGGCTTACTCTCTGACCATGCTGGCTGGGCTATTTTGGGGAGTTGTAGTCGAAATCCTATTCTCCTTCCCTGCCCTCAAGATCACCTCCCTTTCTGATCCAGCCGCATTCCGGCTCTATGAAACAGCTTGCCAGGCAGACAGAAATACAAAACCGCGCGGCCTTGCTTGCTCCACCGCCGCCGGAGGGCGACGAGCCCGGGGGCGCTCCCTCTGGGGCCGGCCTGCTTTTGCCCCAACGGTGGTAGGCGGCAGGGGTGGGGCATGGCA